ATCTCAAAATTTGATTTTTCTAATTTAAACATTTTAAAACACATTTAAAATTTATATTCTGTAACTATGATTTATAATGGGAATTAATGTACGGAAAGAAAATCGGGAAAGACATACCGGACCACAAGTCAAAAATTGAGAATAGGCAATCGAACAAGAAAACATTAATATCTCATTTTACAATGATTGGGGTCATTTACCAGCGAACCGAAATTGAAAAACCAAGCGAATCGTAATGTACTCTCGCTCGATGCTAGTAACGCCACGAGAGCCAATCAGTGACACGAAGCCAACGATTGGAGATTGGATGTAAATGACTACTGTAGTTGACACGATGGGTTTGAATTAACTGAGTTCAAGTTCAACAAAAGACAAACGCAACACGCGATACATCAACCGCCGTGCTTCATTCCTACGCTCGATCACGGTGGGACTCGAACCCACAATCTCCCGCTCCGGAGGCGAGCGCCTTATCCATTAGGCCACGCGATCTTGATGTCCACTTCAACTGAATTAATAAATATATATTATAACCTATCTTTCAATCATGGGCTAGAGTTCAACATTTCATCCCTTAAAAAACCAATTTTTAATTTTTAATAGATAGAAACGCTGAAAACCTAATTATTTATCAAGGATTTTTGTCAAAGATTTATTTTCCTTCAATTTTAAGCAGTTTAGATTTTATGCCTTTGTCTGGGTTGAGGGTTTAAAGTATTTTAGTTCATTTTTTCTGTATTTTAGTTTTGGATTTTGCATGAACGATAACTCGAATATGGAAGCAGCATCTTTCATCTCGGATATATTTAGAACCATGAACATGACAGCGTATCAAGGATAAGCAGGCGCTTTTTGCAAAACATTCATGCCGATCTTCAGTCGAAATCACGCCTCCTGTACGGAAATAGTCAATGGAGGGCACTCTTCCCCCGTGAAAGTTGAAAAAAACTGCAAGTTTAGTTCTCTTACCCAAACTGTATCACATTGTGAGTTTCTTTCATCATTCTATTGCCCAATCTCTGATGCTCATAGGTTGAAGAGTTTGCGAGTGAATTCAAATTCCTACTTCCATGAAATTGTTAGGAGCTATTTGCAGTTGTGGGCAAAACTGAGTACCTTAAATTCTATTTCGAAAAATAGTTTCTTATAGAACTTAATTCCACTCGATTCAAACTGGGGAAGCTCTATGACCTAAATGACTTGCTGTGTGAAAAGATTCACTCTCCTCTTAAACATATCTTTCCGAGACATTTTTTATCTAAAATGCTATTGGAGCACATGAATCACCTTCAAGGTTCTTAGTTACACTCTGGCCAACCTACTTTCTGGTTCAAAGATTGCAAGTTTCCGGACTAGCTACTCTTAACTATATGGACACTCTCTAATGCTAAACTTTGAAAGCTTTAAACTTGGGATCACTAATTCGAACTTTACCTCTTAACGGTAGGTCTCATACTACCGCTGGACCATAATAGCATTTCCAGTGCAAACGGCTGAATCTGCCCCTACACATTAACATTACCTAGTAGCGTACTACATAAGTCGTGAAACTGTTTTCAATATGAAAATCTATCTTCTATTCTGCTAACTCTACATACCCACTCCAGCCGTTAGTATGATAGTGAATTTTGTGAAAACGGTGGTCACGACTATTCTACGAACAAAGATTAAACTACTACGAATTATGACTTCTAAAGGTATGAACATGTAGAGGATCCTCGTTATGAATGTTTTGAACTCCTGCATGGAACAGTGATTGTACTATTCATTTCCAGTCCTTAGCTGCCTTCCTTTCGTTCCTTCTCATAAACTGTGATATACATGTATGAAATAACTGGGGTTATCTCGAGTAGAACATGAAGTCATGGCAAGATCATATCCGGAGTAATTCAAACTCATGGTGCCCGTCGATTTCTTGGACATTGTTGTGAACAAGTCGCCCAAAATACTCTGGCCCGACAGTGCCAGTCACTCCCCACTCGATAGAGAGAATCAGTAAGTCATAAGAACATGGGTTCCGGTGGCCTACGAATAGGACACCGTCGGGTAAATTGAAACTTGATGGTTACCTTATTGATAGAGAAAATCAGTAAGTTATGGTAATGGTAAATAGATCAAACCCGTGGGACCCAAAGGGTCAAAAGTATGAAAAACACAATACAAACAATCCAACTCCAGCCTAGGAGAGAACCAAAAGAACCCCCTAGCTAGTGCCCAAAGCACTAGAACGGTAACTGATAACATCTCTAATGTAACAACCTAAATCATAAGGCTCAAGGTGAAGCAAAGAATAAAAATTCTCAACAACAACTTTATGAGCCACTCTAATCTCTACATATCTAGAACAAGTAAGAAATACATGCTCTTCATCCTCGACTTTTCTTCTATCACATAATTTACAAATCCATTCACTCCTATCAATGTTCAACCAAATTCTTTCCTTAATTCCAAGACTATGAGATCATGTTCTATGCCTAACAATAATATGAAGTAAAGAAATAGATATCTCCTCAAGTAGATATACTTGCTCATAATAAACAAGCATAGGATTCACATGAAGTTGATAAAACTACATATTGGTGCCGCGCTTGCTCCAAATAATGTTCAAAAACTCTTCCTTCAGATTTTCACGTAGTGCTATAGGTTGCAAGTTTCAGCACATTCCACCTCAAAGACCAAGTTATCACATCCGCTAATCATCTTTTGGCACGTGTGGAAACTCAAAAACTTGAGTAGCAAGGCGAGAAGCATTAAGAGATCTCACCCTTCAGATGTAAGTGATGGTCAAGTATAGAGCTTCAGCCTCTAGAGGTAAACAACCTCTTTCAGCAAAAAGAATAGCGTATGAAGTTTGAACATAGGTTCCGGTGGCCGACGTATCGGATACCGTCGGGTAGATTGAAACCTGATGGTTACCTTCAAGACGTATTGAGTATCCAAAAGGTACCATCAAGTAATTTCCTCCTACAAAAGGCTAATTCATAAATTGTAAATGATTGTCACGAACACAGGGAAACTGGGGCTTTCGGGAGAGTACATTACCCAAGAGTGTCTCGGTCCACGGATGATCGGGTGGTGTTACTCTAGCGACACGGTTCATTAGGTTTTTGTACCAAAAGTAGAACTTCAATCTCTTGTGTATGCATCTTCCTTGAGACTTGGCGTTTGTGTCTTTTACCATGTATTCATTTGGTCTATAAGATATAATTGCAAAATTTCCGTTAAAAGAAGAATTGTGGAAACTGCGTGCACGAGAAGCCTACAATTATTATTGTCTAAGACAAAAAACGTTGGTTAGTGGTTACGCGCTTTCAGGTTTAGTATGTTTTGTGGAAACATTATCAGCTATTCAAATCTTGAGAAATTTGCTTGATGAGACCCTATCAGAACGCTGATTGCTTGATGGGACACAATACTTTCCAGTTTACCCGATGAGACACTTCCGACGGGTCACCGTCAGTTATGTTCTTGAGAAATTTGCTTGATGAGACCCTATGAGAACGCTGACTGCTTGATGGGATCCAATACTTTCCAGTTTACCCGATGGGACCCTTCCTACGGGTCACCGTCAGTTATGTTCTTGAGAAATTTGCTTGATGAGACTCTATCAGAACGCTGACTGCTTGATGGGACCCAATACTTTCCAGTTTACCCGATGGTACCCTTCCGACGGGTCACCGCCAGTTATGTTCTTGAGAAATTTGCTTGATGAGACCCTATCAGAACGTTGATCGCTTGATGGGACCCAATACTTTCCGACGAATCACCGTCAGTTATGTTCTTGAGAAATTTGCTTGATGAGACCCTATCAAAACGTTGACTGCTTGATGTGACCCAATACTTTCCAATTTTCCCGATGGGACCCTTCCCACCGGTCACCGTCAGTTATGTTCTTGTAATTATCAGTTATGTTCTTGAGAAATTTGCTTGATTAGACACTATCAGAACGTTGACTGCATGATGAGACCCTTCTGACGGGTCACCGTCAATTATGTTCTTGTAACTGATTTGTTTCCAATTCGATGAAAAAAATTTATTTCTTCCTGATTTTTAAATTAATCAGATTTTCCATGTTTCCCTATCTACATGTTGGAAGAGCCCAAATTCTTGAGTCCCATAATGATTTTACAGTTATAATTTATGGTCACAATCTTGCGGATTTTGGTCGCTTGAAGAACATTTCACTTTTCAACAAAGAGCCTCAGTGTTTTTCCTAGCCCGGTTTGGAAGCAATTACAAGAACGGGTTACCGTCGGTTATGTTCTTGTAATTGATTTGTTTCCAATTCGATGAAAAACAAGTATTTCTTCCCGATTTGTAATTAATCAGATTTTCCATGGCTCCCGATCTACATCGTGGGAGAGCCCAATTTCTTGAGTCCCATAATGATTTTATAGTTATAATTTATAGTCACAGTCTCGCGTGAAGAACATTTCACTTTTCAACAAAGAGCGTAAGTGTTTTTCATAGCCCGGTTTGGAAACAATTACAAGAACTCGCAGTAGAACATCGGTGACAGTGGACTGAATTGCCGTCGGAAGGGTCCCATCGGGTAAAATGTAACTTATTGGGTCCCATCAAGCAGTCAACGCTCTGATGGGGTCCCATCAAGCAAATTTCTCTTCAAATCTTCCCTCTTTCCTCTTTGCCCAACGTCGATAAATATTTGTATCATGTTGAAGAGAAAACCCATGCAGGTTTTGATCATAAATCCTACTCTGCTGAAGAGGCCCACTTTACCTACTTTATTTCAACCATGTGATTCTTGATGGGATCTTTCCATCGTTTTGAGTATTGAACTAGATTTCCGTTATCATAAGAAGACGCAACTGATAATCGACAAGAATACATAACAGGAGCGAGGTGTGGCATACCAACTGCACGTTTAGAATCTCTCCGATTATCGGGGAGAATTCTTACACGTGGCTAAGAGAATAGTTGTAAGACCACGGCCGTCCTCAGTGCAAATCTCCAGTCAAATCTAAGGAGATGGAATGTACACTTTCGAAAACATGATGGAAAAATTCTGCATATTACCGATTGTCAGATACTCAAAACAGATGAAACGGAGAAACAATTAACCTAAAGACGGAACTCAGTGCTGTCTCCCAACTCCACTGGAACTGTCATGTAGTATGTACAAGCTGCACCACAATCTTAACGGGACATAACACTGACATTAAACGTCAGAGTCGCAACCAGGACTACATCAGTACCCATGATCTTGCTTCACCGTGGATCACCTACGACCGCGTCTCTCACAGACGCCTGCGCTAACATACACGTCATGTACAGCACCTGATGCAGTACATTACCACAAAATTGGATTCCTAAATTCCCTAATCTGCGTCAACCATAAGTTTCAGCGCGATGAAGACGTTGTGGATATAGCCCCTCAGATGACTTGGCAATAGATCCACGGGAGATACAGAAGAAGGTTAACGGAGTACTTCCTCCTGGTTGGAAGTCTAGGCTACTGCTATATAGAACTTTGGATCTACCCTGCTTCTCGCAAACTCATTAGCTATTGACCATGGTACATGCAAGATGCTAATATCTCAGTACTACATCAACATATTACCTCTGCGCAATTCTAGCCTAATTGTGGACCCTGCTTCAAGTGAGCCTGAACATAGGTCGACTTATCTATGCAGCTTGTCCTTCGGATGTCTTCAGCCATAGGTGCCGGCCAAGTAGTGGAGCCTCATGTACGGCAATGTACGCAGCGTTCAGCCTGCACCAACAAAGCCAAACATAGAAACAAGCCCGGTCATAAAATGAGACTCATCGATAGGTACGTGGAATCTGTCGTCAACGGCCGGAGCAATTGCAACTGGCTAACTCATCAAAAGGCTCGAACTGCGCTCTCAAAGCCAACTTCCTCATGAATCAACTCAAGAAGAAGATTCACTGTTCGCTATAAAATCAACAGCAGAATTTTATTTCAATCTCGCGGGAAAAAAAAGGAAGCCATATATGACTGGGCTACGCTATTTCGCAATTTTACAGTATGAAAACAACCTCGTGCTAACCAAAATGTCAAAAACCTGGTTGAACGTAAAAAGGAGAAAAACTTACTTGTCAATACCAGGAAGGGCCAAAGGGTCGAAAACTTCTTCCTCCTTTTGCTCAGCTTGGGCGGAGATGTTGCCGGTAGGAGCAATTCCAGCCTGAATCTCATTCTAATTACATGCCAGAAAGAGCAGAACAAAAAAACAGAGGACAAAATTGCTTCATGTGAAACCCCTTAACAACACAATTTAATAGAAGACCAGGTGGATGAACATTCAGACCACTAATGCAAGGGAACTAAAGATGCTTCCTCCTATTTCCATCAATAAGTGGATATACCAAAGACTTCGTTCCTGACTCTAATACAACCACGCCCCTAGCACGTGAAAAGTTTACAAAGACTCATCTTCTACAGGACTAGGATAGGGTAAACAAAAGGTCGAATTAAGTCCACCCTCTCAGATCACATATGTCTGGCTTAAACATACTATTCCCCAACGATTTGCAAGAATGGAGCTCAGCCAAGCACAGCTCATTCAATTACGTTTGACATGCACTCCAGCTAAAAAGAGCAAATCCTGCTTCATTTCTCAGGACTTTAGCCATGACTACCTTCAAATTCATCTCCACAAACAATACCAAAGAGAACGACGAGTCGGATGCTAGTTTCTGTCGGGAAAATCTTAGTTTCTTATAAGTTCCGGGAAGAACACATTCAGACCACCTCAAAATGGATACTTGCACATGGTTGTAGCGTTATGATAAATAACAGAAGTATGCCCTATCAACCTCAAATAAAACTAGAACGTACAGCTTGCAAAGACCCTTGATGAGTGAAAACCTAATATAAACAGTACCGTTTTAGCGCTACTAATTAGTTCTAGGGTGACGGGAAGGAACTACACGGAGAGGCTAGAGATAAGCAGCCCACTTTTACTGCTTGTGAACTGAGGCTGCAGAACTTCCCTAACTCTCCATAAATTCTCAACGAAAACATTCGATCACTCTTACGCTACGGTTCCTCCTTCAAAGCATGACTAGGCTGTATTTCTGCCATCCAAAGAGGCGTCTCAACCAAAAACAAGGAGACAAGATTTAAACTTGATCTTTGAAACCGGATCTGTAATATCTAGCCATCAAACGTAGGGCCATTTCCGATCCCAGCAAAATGCTCAGGCCCAAAATTCTAGCTTACCTGCTGAGGATAGTTCCCATAACCAGGATAGTTGCCGTAGGCATATGCACCGGGATCCTGAGGAGGTGGAGCATAACCGTAACCTTCATACCCTTGACCATACCCATAATATCCACTATTCCACTGGTTTGGGTCTTGTTGTGGCTGTCCCCATCCTGCGGGTGACTGTCTCTGCGAGTAACATTACACCCATGAGTCCAAAGCGAACCAAACTTCTTCACGACCCAAAATCATGTGCACTTTTAAAATGTAGATGGTTTCTTTCTCCACACCATCAACCTCACCAAACAGAAGACAAAATCTCGCATTCTTCAAATGGTAAGCCAGCTGTATTCGTTAAAATTCCTCGTCTCATTCCCACCCTACACAATTGACTTAAGGATTGCGTTGAGATCATGGCGCTCGAGAACGACATGAACAAAACTACAACTGTAGCTGCTTTACGCACCGAAGAAGTCTGAGGTGGGATCTATTCTTCTGACCCATCCTTTCCTTGAGTGGAGCGGGATGGTGTTAAATCAAAGATGACTGAATCGAGGACGCCGCTCAACTTTATTCACTCAATTGCCAAGAGAAGGCCATTCACTTCAAAGTGAGAAGAAGATGTACTAAACAAAGCCGCTTAGAAACAGGATGGACGCCAGAACCAAGACATGCGGGTGGCGGAAGTCTCACACGAACAACATATACACGATGTGCGAAGCATCAACGGAATAAATTATCATTCAGTAGATAATTCAACCCCGTCCTCTGATAACAGTTACTGTCACCCGCTTAAACTCCCACAGTATCATCAGATGAGAATAAAAGCAACCACCCAGAAGACAGAATCTTATCTGACTCCCTTATAGAGCTCCCTTGCTAATTAGAGCAAGGGAAAAACATAGACGTGACGATTGGCTGAAACTGGATGTAGCAAGTGACCGGCAGGTTCACACAAGGCGCTGCTTAACTTTCTTCTCAAAGAATTCTAACAAGTTCACTTGATTCAGTGATGTCTCCAATGAAGAGATATCCCCTCAAAAGTTTCAAGCTGAGACGCAAAGCTGCACCACGCGGAGCAATCCGCCTGAAAAAGAATACCACCGTTTCTAAAAGAGATATAAATAAAGAATCCGGTGCCAACGGAGTATTTACTTCCGTTGCCAGCATCAAAACCCACTTTTGGATAACATATGGTTCCAATACACATACATTCGGTTGTTTCTTTGATAGAAACATGGGATGGTGCTTATGGAGACCCTTGTAAGTGACCGAGTAGTACTTGTGAAGGCACAGTAGCGGTTAAAATATGACGGCAAGGATGGCCACAAGCTGGCGCAGAGAGGGCTACGAATTAGGTTGATGACTTATGTGTGTTGCACTTACAAGAACGGTATAAGAATCGAAGTGGGTGGACAAGCAGAAGATACTCACGTCTTGTGACACTTGTTTATTGCCGGGACTTCGACCCCATGAGAGCCGGATCGCTTGTTGTCCAATAACGGTCCCATGTAGCCTTTGCAAAGCTTCCTCTGCACAAGCTCTGAAATACAAACCCCATGGTCGGAATACCATTGTTAAGAAAAAAAAGCTACACGCCAACCTGAATCATGGAAGTGTAAAAAAGAGGTTAAGGAGAAGTGGCTTGGCCAGTACCTGTGAGTAAATTGAACAAATCCACAACCCTTTCCAACAGGGATCTTCACGTACACAAGATCTCCGAACTGTGAAAATACTGTTCTAAGATCTTCATCAGTTACACTTGGATCGAGCCCACCAACAAAAATCTGCAGAGAATACAACGGGGTAAGTATGGCACGCAATGGCACAAGCATGCCGAAAAATATCCGCCCTTAAAATGAGGTCCGAAAAGCAGAAAAATCCACAAGCAACAACGGCCGTACTAACTTCGGGACGCAGGATGACATTGATGAAAATAGATAACTTATGTCTAGTAGCGAGAATAAACACGAAATAGGAAGGATAAAAAAAACATTTAATAGCTCGGGTAGGGAATGGGTCGTTGTAACAATGGTTGACAAAATGAAACACCAATTACTGACACCAAATGGGCAGAATAGAAAAAACGTTGACTTGAAATAAATATAGCCATCTTCTTTGGATAGCGGAACATGTTTTCCTTGCCATGCGCTGACTAAGACGAACATAGAGGACATCAAAAGCTCTGCAACTGGAAAAAAATAGGCAGAGAACACTGCTAGTTCATAAATGTCAGGAAAAGACTCGTGTATCTCTAGGATGATGAACCAGAAAATTATAGAGAGAAAAGCATGTTTTCATTATCTAACACATGACAGCTTTTCCTGAAGTACATATAACTCATGGCAGCCTGGAAGTCAATCGATCACACTCTATTCCTGTTCAGAAATATCGTGAAGCAATTTCAAGGACTCAATATCGGCAGAGGAAATGTTTGTCCTACAATCCACCGCACTATGGCAACATCAAACCGTGAGAGAAACAGTATCCATCACAGTTCGTCCGTGAATTGGAGACCTTGCGTAATTTGTTGTCTGACAAACTCGAAGGACGTTGACATTCAAGATGCATAAGGGGTTCAAAATAAAGTCGGCGAAACAGCAACCAATCAATTCGTGAATATAGCCATACTAGTTAAACCGTGATACCAACGACAACCTCAATAATCCTAAGCAATACACTCGAACTTGCTTAAAAAAAATGCAAATACGAAGACATCAGTGACTTTTTTCTCAAATTTGGGTACGTTGTGTTTGTTTTGGAGACGTCCAAAAACCCATCGCAGCGTAAGATACACGGATGCAGAGAGAAGACTGGAAAGTTCCAGGATTCTCGCGAGGTGCGCGCTTGGGAACCTCCGGAAATTTCCCTGATAAAAGGCCCTCACGGAATCTGTCTGATCCCTAAAATCTTGTCCAGTTCCACTAAGCGGGAAAAACAAGTTAACTGAAACTCTCACGGACTTAGATAACCACAAAAAACGGGAATGTTTCAATATCTAAAACTGCTGACAGGAGCTCCACCTAGATCAGAATGCGAATTGAACTGAGACCAGAACTCTTCCTCAGCAAAAAAACTCGAAAGAGTACAAATCCCGTTCTTGGTGTCCTGGCAATACTTGTGAACTGAAATAGAAAAAGCAGAAAAAATTTCAAAATTCAAATGCGTATTCACAAATGATGGAGCATGGGTAGTGATCAGGCAAGAGATAGGCACTAACACTTACAGTTGTGTTGTTAGGATCGTTGTCGGTCGGAAAGGCTGGCGCAGCTGGAGGTACACCGTAAGCTTGAGGAGTTTGGTACGGTACAGCCGCGGGGGAGGCTGTAGAGCCAAAAACAACACACCAGAAACTTTGAAAATATCAGTCCGTAGGAAGTCATTCTTGTCACCTCTACGCGTTGAACTGAGCTCGTACGCCAGTTCTAGACGTTTAAACCAGACCATAAAACCTCATAAGCTTCAACCACATCTTGTTAGCTGCTGCAACTCAAGTCAAGACTACTAGCCCAAAACATGCCGCACAGCTGGTGTTCCTTAAGAAGTATACAGGGTCTGCACAGAGAAAGCAGTACAACCACTTGGCAGCATCCAAACTATTATCCTACACTCGGTCAATACTTCGAGAGTTCATTGAGTTTAGTGAAGTCTCAGAGGCATTGCAGGGAAAGAAGTTAAAGATAAAACTACGTTTTACAACATGGCATACGCCCAGAGGGTAATGGAGTGGGCTTGTAGGAAACCTACAGCAGACTGATCCTCGGGAACGATCAGGGCAGACACTTCACAAAACCTCATCCCAAAACACAAATTTGGATCAGGCATATTCCAGTAAAGAGGAGCAAAAATGCGTACAGTGGAGAGAATTCACGTAAACATGAAGACTGACCTAAGTTAGAAGCCACCCACTAACAGAGGGTACTTTCCAGTTGCAGGCTTTTGTTCCAGGGCCATTTGCGTAGAAAGCCTCTTGCCCTCCTGCTTTGAAACAAAAGAGCCTTATAAGCTTTTAACAGGCGATAATTTGTGCAAGTTGATAAATGACTTGAAAAGTCGGGCAAGACGCCTCATCACTGTAGCAGGATGCACCAAAGTTGAAAGCACGGACAGTAGGGGGTAACTAACATGAAAAAAACGGGAAAACTCAAACAAGCAAGCAAATGCAGGAAATACCCATTTAGCGGGTGTAGTTATAATGGAAATTTAAACCTTGCGAAGAAAATGCGAAGAAAGACAGCACATTTGAAGTCCATCACAAAGTAGCTGTGTGAGGAATGTTTGTATCATTTGACAGTGAAAAGCGGTTTGGAAGGCCGTCTAGGACCCCCCAGTTAGGAACCCAGCCCTAGACAAAAATCAGAAAGCATAAGTAGCCAGGAATCTACTATGCAATTCGGCTGGAAATTTCCTTCAGCGATAAGAGGCTTGCAAGAGACTGGAAAAGGTAATGAGGTACTCCAGCGGTCATTTCGTGAAATCAAAAACAAATACAGACAAACCGTTTAAGGTAATTTTTTTCTTGACTTGAACTTAGATAGCTTGGGTTGAGATAAACTTGGCACTAGTTGTAGTAGTAGTAGTAGTAGTAGTAGTAATAATAATTGTACATATCGCTGACACTAAGACCAGACGACTCCAAAAGGCTTAAAGAAATTGATCAAAAACAGAGTCCGAATTTATCCCGTAGGTGTTATGTTCATACCCTTAGGATTGATTTGTTGCGCAGGTCCGAGCGATTTCTTTGGAGTTGCAGCACTGATCCGCATAGGTCTGCTGGAACAATAGATACCGTTCATCTCAGTCATAGCAAGATTTCTTTCCATCTCGTCTCCAAAGCGGACAAACCCATAACCTTTCGATCGTCCTGTGTTGGCATCCGTTACAACCTTGGCTCCTTTAACGGAAGGATAGCGGGTCCGAAACGTTTCCTGAAGCATGTAATCCGTGACATCAGGAGCCAAATCGCCCACAAAAATGGAATGCTCGGGACCTGCCTCAGGCCTCCTCTCTCCGATCCCGAAGGATGCCCAATTAAGTCTAAATGGCTGCTCTGTCTGAGGCATCAAAGAACCGTTGTAACCCTGAAGAATTTTTTCTGCCGCAGCGTGTGAGGTGAATTCCACAAAACCATAACCTTCTGAGTACCCAGTCTGCTTGTTGCGAATGATTTTCACCGTGCAAACCTGCAGGAGAAGACGCAACTCTGTGAGCAAGGCAATACAGTGACGAGATTTACTCAAATACTGCTTAGAGCAACCGAATTAGGCGAGCCCAGATGACTTCACTCAAATTCAAGGAGAAAGGACTTTAGGTCGACGAGTCCACTGGCATACGAGGATGCACAAGGATTCCTATCCCTCGTGTGGCGGTCGGTCAACATTTCAGGTAAGTGAAGCTGGACTCTCTTGAGGTATTCATCGTGCCAGTTCTCCACTCTACAATGAGTGCAATTCATCCCCATTATGCTAGCCCGGAGAATGCTAAGGTAAAACTATATCCTCTAGCTTTAGCGAGTACGTCTAAATGAGGTGCGAGCTAAACGGAGGATAATAACGCAAACTCCACGGAGGTAATAACAGTCCGAACAGAATGTTCTTGCCACATGATTGGGTTCGCTAGCAGCCACGTTAAGATGACAGTCGAAAAGTTCATTCTGTTCGCGTTCCAGAGATTTTATTTCATCCTCACCACAAACACTTTTATTTGACCTTCCGACCAGTGTAGGACATGGAAAGATAGCAGACGGATGTGAACGGAGACGACTCCAACTACGATAAAAAAAAATTGCCGGCACTATATTCCAGTTAAATTATGGTAAAAAATATCAGAAAATTGACGACCAAGGCACCGCAACCGGGTTAAGTTTTAACACTGCAAGCTCTTGAAACACGACCTACTATATCCAAAACCAGGAACTTCAATACGGACTGAGCTGAGCAACAAGGAAAACTCCTACGGAATCACGGTACAACGGGGCCACAGGTGTTTAGAAGGATTCTCCAGGGTTCAAGCTGATAGCTGTCATTTCAATGTCAACAAACCACGAAGAGTCTTTGTGGTGTCGTTAAGGAGAAACCTTCTTGTCGGCTTATCAGAAGCTTATGAACCTCTTTCAAGAAAATTTAATTGTTACACTTGTCCCGGGATAGAATCAAAGCTTCAAGATCCACTCATGAATTATGAAAGAGCCACTCTGTGCAATATAGACTACGTCTCGAGACCCTGAAGCCTTCCTCTAGCTTATCACCGAACTAGAGAAACTTACATCACCAGTGTGCACAAAACAACCGTGCAAGTAGGTCTCGTCCATCCAGTACTGCAAGTCCCCGACCCACAGAGTCTTTACTTCTTCATGTGACTGCTGCTGACCAGGCTGCATTTGCTGCTGCATACCAGGGTGCTGTTGCTGCTGCTGCATCATCATCCATTGCTGCTGTCCGTCACTCGACTGTGGAGTCGGAGGTCCAACCCCTACCGGTGACTGCATCATCATGCCCTACTCGTATCCTGTTCTTCCTTTCTTCGAACAATCTTCGAACAATCCGTTCTCCCGATTTCACCTCAGAATTAACCTAGTATCACAAATTCGAAACGATACCACGAGCTCCAAGAACCTCAACACGACCACTCCCTAAGTACGGCAGGTCTTCACCTCCACCGTTCCAAATCCCTTATGATAAATGCGAAACCTCAGAAAAGCAACCCGGACCGCAAAACACCTCGCACAACCTCCAAATTTCTGCTCTTTAATCAAATTACGCTCTTCCACTTTTCTCGCGCCACCGCAACAAAAACACCGAAGCGCACCACGCGCGCAGATAAACAAAACCTCACACCTACTAGTATATTACACTCAGTTGAGCCCTCCGAGCCTTCGGTGAGGGAGTGATAAACACGACCACCGGAGAATGAACCAACGAACACAAAACACAAGCACCAAAAACCTCCTCTACCTAGGCTGAACCCTAACACCCCCTCCCCCCACCCTCCCTCCCCAACCCCCCAGCTTTCCACGACCAAAACTAGACACACGCACCGAGCGAGCCCGCGGCCCCGAATCGTGGAAGAACCTCGAGACCTCCCTCAGTAAAGCAACTTGTTCACGACCTTTCCCTCATCTTTCATGCCGGCTTTCTTTCGTGACTCAAGACGCTTTCGTCGTCGGGCCTGAAGAAGACGGACGACCGTTCGTCTGTTCGACCCCGGTGGATGTTAGACGGTCTCGATCTTTCAAGTGGCTTGAATCTACTGCTTCGGCGTGGTGTTCCCGACCCAACCTGAACCTATTTAGGGCTGCCTGAAATGATCCTTTGGCGCCATTTCTTCTCCGTAGACATTTAAGACTCGGCCAGCACAGTGACTCGCTATATTGTGTAGGGTTTGGCTCGCAGCATTTTTATGACGTCGCGCTGCTGCACTGTGGCGATTAAATTCTTCGAGAACTGCTTGTTTTCCTCATCCTTTCGTGAAGTCTCGCCTGTTTTTTATTACTTTTCCCGAGCCAATGAGGTTAAGTCTTGGTTTGGTATATGTATCTTCAGTTTCCAGGAGTATTTGAATGGGCTAGATTGCCCTCTCTCAGTACGAATCTGCAGAACATGGGTCAACCGGTCGAATTGAAGTATTTTGAAATCTACGCTTGACGCTTTGTGAAGAGCTTTGGATTTGTTGCACTTTCTAACAACATTTTTTGAAGTAATTTCAGCGTAGATTGGTTTAATGTTTGTGTTGTTTTACAAAAGCGTTTTTATTCTACACTTGAGCAAATTTTATACTATATGTACGTCACTCGGTACTTGAATGGTTACCATATGATGTAACTATCTGGTCATCTCATATTAAGTATAAAATTGTGACTATTTTGACATGTGTACACGCTATATTTTTTGTTATGATATACAATGATCCAATATTATGTGTATGATATTTTTTCATATATTTTTTTAATTATATTCTATCGATTTATGTTCCAATATGATACTTTAAATAAAATAATAATAAAATTTGGTTTCATTATTTAAAATGAAAAAAAACGGGAAATTTGAACAACAAATATTGGAATTTATTGGTTTTTTAATTTTGATTTGTAAAATATTATTTTTTTCTCATGAATTTGCTGTAAAAGAAAAAAAAGATAATCGGCAAAAAGTTGTGATTCATGATGTTTGAATTAACATAATGGTAAATAGATCAAGCCCGTGGGACCCAAAGGGTCAAAAGGCTAAAAAACACAATACAAACAATCCAACTCCAAACTAGAAGAGAACCAAAAGAACACCCTAGCTAGTGCCCAAAGCACTAGAACGGTAACTAATAATATCTCTAATGTAACAACCCAAATCATAAGGCTCGAGTTGAAGCAGAGAAAAGAAATTCTCGACATCAACTTTATGCGCCACTCGAATCTCTACATACCTAGAACAAGTAAGAAATACATGCTCTTCGTACTCAACTTTTCTTCCATCACATAGCCTACAAATACGTTCACTCCTATCAATGTTCAGCCAACGCACTTCTTCAATTCCAAGACTATGAGATCTTGTTCTATGTCTAGCAATAATATGACGTAAAGAAGTATATATCTCTGCAAGTAAATATCCTTGCTCACAATAAACAAGCATAGGATTCACATGAAGTTGATAAAACTGCATCTTGGTGCCTCGTGTGCTCCACATAATGCTGAGAAATTCCTCCTTAATACGCTCGCGTAGGGAAATAGGTTGCAAATTCCAATCGAGTTCCGTCACATTCCACCTCAAAGACCAAGTCACCACATCTGCAAACCAACCCTTGGAACGTGTGGCACTCAAAACTTCAAGAGGAAGTCGAGAAGCATCAAGAGATCTCACTCTTTTGACGTAAGTGATAGTCAAAAATAGAGCTTCAGCCTCAAGAGGTAGACAACCTGTTTCCGCAAGAAGAATTGCATAAGAAGTTTGGGTCCTCACATCCAATTCTTCTTGTAAGAAGATCTTTTGCACCCTCTCCAAACGCTGCCAACCAACAACTAAAGACACACAACTTTTTGAAAAACTTGTTTTATTCATTAAGAGCTTTTTTTAATATTTTGATGTAATGATATCTAACAATAAAGAATAATCAGAGGAAGCATCTATCTTTATTACTTCAAAAATATACATTTAAAGTCATATTTGTATATCTAAAATCAACATGTGATAAAATTCATAATAAACTAACATGTTTATGTAAAAGAGCATAAATTTTAATTTGACAATAATCACAATATGAAACTGTAATATAAAAATGATTAATTCACATGATTTTGTAAAAACAAGAACAAAAAATTAACAAACACCATAACAATCATGCAATAGCACACAACATCAAGACAACATATATATGGTTTGTCACATAGAATGAGAAATTATAAACTAAAGTCCAACATTTTACTTTAAATTTGTACTCTTATTCAAACTATAATCATCAGCTGCAACTTATGCTCATTCATGCTATTCAAATTGCAATCATATATTCAAAATTTGTGTAATGTGTAATATCCATCTACTCAAAATCTTGGTTCAATCTAACCAAAAAAAATGGTTCATTATTGATGACCTCAGCGCATAGAGCTTCTTGGTTAGCGTGTCACTTGCATTCAAGAAGTTTGATTTCAATTTTGAGATAGAGTTGGTAATGCACAAAACTATAAGAACTGCTTTTGACATGATGAAAGATGTGGAGTCTTCATGATGCTTTTACCATGTACTAACACTATATTTTTTGATACATACTGAAGCACTTAAAATGCTTAGCTTATTGCTACAATGATTTCATTATATATCTTATTTAGTGACCTTGTATTTATCATACGTCCTACTCAAATCAAGCTATGTACAAACATTGAGTATATTCACAACTAAGATTTCAGCCCCATTGCCATAGATATTTCTAACTCTTTCTAAAGATCATTGTACATAGACGTTGTGTCATCAACACATTGCTTTTTGTTTAATAGTGTCAATGCATCAACTTTGTTATGTATCAAATTTGCCAAAAGCTCCTTTGTATTAATCAACCACATAAGTGCTTTTAATTTTGCTTTCAACTTTGTAAGTAAAGTGTCAGAAACCTCCACATTGACAATATGATTCTTCACAACAAGATCCAAAAGTGTTTCTACGACATGGAGCACGCAAAGTTACATCTTCTCTTGCATTATGATCTCTAAATACACTTATAAACTCTGCTTGAACTTAACAAAATCATCGTTATTAATCACATCTTTAATAGTATGTTTTAGATGCTTAATTATATGAAATTACCAATATATAATCTTCTGTAGTGTAGGCTCTATGAGTACAACTTTAGATTTTGACCAATTCAAAAAGCGTACACTTTAAATTTAGCAAGATAAGGAGTTTTCATACAAAGTAGTGCCAACAAATGAATTGATTGTTTCAAAAGTATCATTTAGATTGAAGCAACTTTTTAGAAGTGCATATTTTGTTGCTTTAGCTACATATTGTTTCATTGAATATCTTAAAAACATTAAGTAAACAATAATTTAGAAAGTTTCACATGGTTGCATTTTCTTCTTTCACAGTTTACACTAGCATGATCTATATGAAATAAAAATACACAATTAATATCATTAATTAATGTCTTCTTTAGTTCTTTCTCTGACACTTGTGCATTTCATTATGTATATAAATGAAGTGTAACATGTAATTATCAGTGTGCTTGGAAATAATTAAGATGATTTTATCATGTATTTTTACCTCAAACGTTTTCTTTTGACAACACAATTGAAGAAATTTTTAATCTAAAATTTCAATATATATCATATTAGTCTTTGTAATAAACCTACAAATTTTTAATGTATATATAACTCTATGATATGTTTAAATTTCCATAGATTCAATGATTTTTATTTTACATCATTAATCATAAAATGAACGTTTTAATATAGAGAAAGTAATGAAAAAACTCTAGTTTAATAAAATGTGATAAAAACAAGCACAATTTAAATTGTATGCATCATCTACATTTTTTGATAATAAAAACATATTTATAACATAAAATATCATATTTAAGCAAGACATACAAGGTATTTTCTTTATAGTACCACATCGGAACCTAAAGTACTTGATAGAATCCATTAATGTTTTCTTATACTCGATAGAACCCCACTAAAGGTACACCGTCGATGAGTTCTAATACGTGTTTTTGTACAAATATGTGCATGTTATATGATGTTGTTCCCCACAATTGAGTCGGTCAACACCGTTGAAATTTTGGTAGCAGTCAAGCTGTACAAGCCTAATCTGCTCATCAATGTCCAATGTCAAGACGGACAAATGATGGGTTTGCATGAATGCTAAAAAATCTAATTTTACGAATGCTCAAGAATCGGACTTTACGAGTTACTCTAGCACCCTATGTCAAGAGTTTCTGAATACACTCGTGTGATAAACAGAGTATTCTCTCCCAAGCTTGCAAAAAAAAATAAAAAATCATCCAATTCGAGTGCATAATTTTATTTCTTGTACGCACTTATCGATCTATTCCAATAAATTCAACAACTATCGCAGCACAAATTAACAATTAGAGCTCTATTGCGCTCTATTGCGTGTCTAAATTGAAGTTAGCGAGCTCCAATGCATTGAGGCCATGCTTCATTCTGTTTGAACATAACCGCTACACCGTTTGTTCGTACTTTAACATGCGTGACGTGTACAGTTGTGGGATTCCATCAGATACAACAAAACTTGATGGATCCCATCCAGTAATTTTAGTTTTGATGGGATTCATCAAGTAAATACCTCAAAGTCATAATTTTTTACATTAAATTTGTGAACCACGTTAGCGAAAGTAAAATCATAACATTTAATCTTCACATGCCAATACATTTAATTCAATTTTAATACATTTTTTTACAAGATAACAATAAAACAAAATCAATCATACCTTAATGTTTTCAAATAAATAAAAAACCAAATCAATACCATTTAAAACAAAATTATAAATCTATTATTATTAATTTTTAAAAAGTTATTTGTTATTAAATGTGATTGGTGTTGAACAAATTCAAATTATAAAAACATGAAATGGTGAAAAAATATAATAAATTATATATAATTATCACTTCATTTTTTTAAATATGTTCTACTCACAAATGAAATTCATTATGTGATAAATGGATTTGAAAAATGTTTGAAAAAC